CAACTGCAACACACCCCCCGTGACATTTTCCCCCACCATCACAGCTGCTGAACTGCATCATGGACATGGTGGAGAAGACGCGGCGGTCACTGACGGTGCTGCGGCGGTGCCAGGAGGCCGACCGGGAGGAGCTCAACCACTGGATCCGGCGCTACAGCGACGCCGAGGACATGAAGAAAGGCAGCCCCCCCTCCGCCCGCCCCCACAACAGCTCCTCCGCCTCCGAGGCACCCCAGTTAGGTATTGACCCCCGGGGGGCTGCGGGGTGCTTATTATGGGGGAGGATTGCGGGGTGATGGACCTTTCTCCAGGGTGCCTGTGCCCATCTCCTGGGGGTCCAGTGCTGCTGGGGGGGTGGGTTCAAGGGGGACAGCATCTCCTAACGGAGTCACCCCATCTCTTTCACAGATGCTCACCGGGAGTTCACACCACGGCCCCTCTCCGGGTACATGCCGGAGGAGATCTGGAGGAAGGCTGGTGAGTGCAGGGTGGGCACCCAGCACCCATCGGTGTGCTGAGCTGGAGGGTCTCTGCCCCATCCCCTCCCTGCGCTACGTTGGGTGCCGGTGGGGCTGGCGGGGGTCAGGGTGGGTTTGTGGCACGGGGTTGGGAGCTCGCAGCCGTCCCGGGGAGCTGCTGCAGAGGGGGATGCTCAGCCGCCTTCTTTCCAGAAGAAGCCGTGAACGAGGTGAAGCGCCAGGCCATGTCCGAGCTGCAGAAGGCCGTGTCAGACGCCGAGCGGAAAGCCCACGAGCTGATCACGACGGAGCGAGCCAAGATGGAGCGAGCCCTGGCCGAGGCCAAGCGCCAGGCTTCGGAGGATGCCCTCACCGTCATCAATCAGCAGGAGGACTCCAGCGAGGTGGGGACCGGTGGGGGCGAGCCAGGGGGGACGGGGTTTGTGGCACCCACGAGCATTTGGGATGAAGTTTGCAGCATCTGTGCATGCAAACGTGGGTATGGGGGGGCTGCAGCAACACCATGGGGTGGGAAGAAGAGGGGATTTCTTGCACCAAGCTGGGATGAGGGTGCATGATCCAGGATGGCATGCAAGGTCCAGGATGAGGGAGCACAGTCTTGGATGGAGGTGCATGGTCCAGGATGATGTGCATGGTCCAGGGTGAGGGTATATGGTCCAGGATGGGGATGCCTGGTCCAGGATGATGTGCAAGTTCTGGGAATGGGGGTCCATTGACAGGGTGCATGGTCCGGGATGAGAATGCATGGTCCGGGATGGGAATGTATGGTCCAGGAATGGGAATGCATGGTCTGGGATGATGTTCATGGTCCAAGATGATGTGCATGGTCCAGGGTGAGGGTATATGGTCCAGGGTGAGGATATATGGTCCAGGATGGATATGCCTGGTTCAGGATGATGTGCAAGTTCTGGGAATGGGGGTCCATTGACAGGGTGCATGGTCCGGGATGATGTTCATGGTCTGGGATGATGTTCATGGTCTGGGATGCAGGTGCATGTTCCAGGATGATGTGGTCCAGGATGTGCATGGTCCAGGATGAGGGTATATAATCCAGGATGGGGATGCCTGGTGCAGGATGCTGTGCAAGTTCTGGGAATGGGGGTCCATTGACAGGGTGCATGGTCTGGGATGGGCATGTATGGTCCAGGAATGGGAATGCATGGTCTGGGATGATGTTCATGATCTGGGATGATGTTCATGGTCTGGGATGCAGGTGGATGGTCCAGGATGATGTGCATGTTCCGGGATGAGGATGTATGATCCAGGATGGGGGTGCCTGGTTCAGGATGAGGGGAGCATGGTCTGAGGTGGTGGAGTTCCTGGTCCAGGATGGGAGGGGGGTTGTGCACGATCCAGGGCTGACGTTGGGCTTTGCATCCCCTGCAGAGCTGCTGGAACTGCGGGCGCAAAGCGAGCGAGACCTGCAGCGGCTGCAACACCGCCCGCTACTGCGGCTCCTTCTGCCAGCACAAGGATTGGGAGAAGCACCACCACGTCTGCGGGCAGACTCTGCAAGGGCTACCAGCCCCTGCCGCCCCCACCTCCGGCGTGGGGCTTCCTCCGGGCCCCTGCCAACCCGACGGGGTGGCCACCATCGCCAGCAGCCCCAGCGAGACGGGCTCGGCGGCCGTATCCCGTGCCGGCACGCCGGCCACCCCGGCCCCGCTGGAGAGCGCGTCCCGCTGAGCCCTCGGACTGCTGCCGCCGCCGCCGCCGCTGCTGCTGCTACCACCGCTCTCCAAAAGACATGGACTGCACTCGATGCAATTTCCTCAGCTACCTGACTCGTGTGACCTCCGAAACGACCTCTCTAGCTCTCACAAATAATCCTCACGGATCCTCAAACTGGGCTTTAAGTGGAGTTAAGGCAAATACCGGTCTTCTCTGTTCTCTCTTCGGTCTTTGTTTTGGGCTTTTGGTTTTTTTTTTTTGGTTGGTTTTTCTATCGGTTGGGGGATTATGGTTCCTTTTTTTGTTGGTTTTTTTTGGGGTTGTTTTTTTGGTTTTTTTTTTTCCTTTTCTTCTTTCTGGATGAGGGATTTGGCTGCATCCTCACCACACAGTGATGTGAGGAGAGGCCGGCTCACCCCCGGCCCTGGCCCGCATCAGCGCTGCCGAGGGGCTCGCTTGCAGGAGGAAAGAAACTTCTTTTCTTCGTCTCTCTCTTCCTTTTTTTTTTTTTTTCCTTTTCTTTTTTAAAACCTTAGTAAGGAACTGCTCAAACCTTAGGAGTTGCTAGGCATTTCTGTAGGCCAGCATGTGCCAAATATGCCACAGCACGAAGTCTTTAGTTGTCATCCAGCACACTGTGTGTAAGCAATTGGCAAGCCTCTTCTCCCCCTACCTCCCAGGACTTTTGTTATTGAATTGCTACATAGTGCATCTTAGCCTAATTGAACTCATTACTTAAGGGACTACTCTGTCTACACAAGTATCCAGGAAATATTATTCCTGAATAACCATGCATATCTTCTTAGGCTGGAACAAGCATGGGCTTGATAACATACCCTGATGAAATAATGAATAAAGAGGTCCTAAACAACATTCTGCCAGCTTCACTGAGTTTAGAGAAACCCCTCAGAAAACCTACGAGGAGCGATTCTCTCCTCACACGTGATAGTTGGTGGAAGAAGCCCAGCTTCCCAGGGTCATGAGACATGAACTATGAAACCACATGAGAGGAGTCAAATTCCTAACAGCAGGAGAGAAAGACCCCTAAAGGAGTGGTCTGATAAAGAATTAATTCCCGTTACTTTACAAGTACAGCTACCCAAAGGCATGATGGAAAATGTCTCCACCCAAAAGCATATTTCCCTCCTCAGGATAGAAAAGTTTGCCCTCACAGGCTTTGCACATCTCCTTGGACTGACCAAGGCCAGGGCAGGAAGCCCAGAAGTTGTCCCGTCAGCTACCAACACCTTCCCAGGCAGTTTTGGCATGGGCTGAGGGACATGTTCCCACACAACCCTCAGGCAGGATTTGGGGTCCAAGGTTCAACACCAATATTTGCTCTGCATGTAACTGTCCTCTTTCAAGGGAGGAACAGGGTTTGAAATGGTACGAATGCAACTTCTGCTAGGCCAGATGGCCTCCAGAATGGGCCCAGGTGTATTACACACAGTAGTATAGATATAACTTGATTATACTGGGTCTTGTAGCAGAAAATGTGCACTGAAAAATGTGTGGTTTAAGAAAACAGACAACTGTCTTGCTCAGATGAAAAAGAGATGATACAGTCACTCTGGACATTTGATTTTGCTCATATCAGTGTAAATCAGGAGTAATTCTGTAGAAATAAGAATAATATCTGTTCTGGGAAAAAGAGATTAGAATGAGGCCATTTATAAACTGTGTCCAGTTCTGAGCCCCTCACTACAAGAAGGACATTGAGGTGCTGGAATGTGTCCAGAGAAGGGCAACAAAGCTGGTGAGGGGTCTCAAGCACAAGTCTTGTGAAGAGCAGCTGAGGGAACTGGGGGTGTTCAGCCTGGAGAAAAGGAGGCTGAGGGGAGACCTTCTCCCTCTCTCCAACTCCCTGAAAGGAGGGTGTAGCCAGGGGGGGGTCGGTCTCTTCTCCCACGTCCCAGGCGATGGGACAAGGAAATGGCCTCAAGTTGTGCCAGAGGAGGTTCAGGTTGGATACTAGGAAAAATTTTTACACTGTAAGGGTTCTTAAGCCTTGGAATGGGCTGCCCAGGGAAGGGGTTGAGTCATCACCCCTGGCGGTACTTAAAAGACGGGTAGACATAGAGCTTAGAGACATGGTTTAGTGGTGGTTTTTGTCAGTGTTAGGTTGATGGTTGGACTAAATGATCTGAAAGGTCCCTTCCAACCTAGGCAATTCTGTGATTCTGTAGCTATGATTATCAGGATGTGCCAAGCATCATTTTCATTCCTGCTTTTGAGCCTATGATAAGCTTTAGAAATATTAAATATTCAATTTTTTTTTTCTAAGACCATGGAGTAGGGGTACACTGGAAATGTGCTTGGGATATTGACACACACTAACATTGACCAGACGATCCTTCTGCTTTCAGCAGTCTCCCCTCCTTAACAACTGTCAAATCAGACTAAGTATTTCCTGAGCTCACGAGAAAGTGTAACAAGAAGCAGCACCCAGGGGCACGCCACTAGCCTTCTCTCAGACACTCTTGTTGCCTTCAGAGAAGTGAATCCTTGTGAAAAAAATAAAGCTCCTGATTATTAGGTAAAAAATGTTGTGTTAGTTGCATAGGGGTTTGGTTCTGTTTCTTTATTATGTGTATTTTTAAAATCTAGTACTAGTATCTGAAATTCTTATATTTTCTGCTGCCTTTTATTCTGGTAGTGTGCCTGTGTTTGTGCTTAACACTGCTATTGTCATCGTATCTGTATTGGTTGATTTTCATGTGGCATATGATCCTTCTATTTTTCTCCAATGTAACACTGTAGATATAAAGTCAGTAAGAAAAAGCTACCTATTGTACTCATTTGAGCTTTATTTCCATCTCAGCATTTTATGTGAGTAGTTCCATTGAAATAATAGCAAAGTTTGGTTATTCCTTATTAGAATTTGCTTGCTGCATAGGAAATGTCAGCCGCTAAGTAAATGTAATTTTCATGCAGGTTTTTTGGAAAAAAACTAATATGCTGCCATTTAAAAAAGCATGGAAAGCCAAGATCAGCCTGAAAGAGTCTCCAGGCATAAAGGAACTAAGAGTGGAACTAGCTATATGTATAACAGGGCAAAAGTTGGGGCTAATGAACTTGAATGCACCAATATGTGAGTGTGCAGTAATCCCAGCTGGACAAACATTTTAAAATTCTTCTGAGTTTCAGGGTGTTGGATTTTGCTATATTGTGCAATATCCTCTACTCATAGTCACAATGAGAGATGTGAATTGGAAGTGGGTGGAGATGTGAGTAGAGATGACATGACCTGGCCCCAAAAGTAATGAAGAAATTAATCTCAATGTAATACAAGGACAGACACGGGCATTGGGCAAATCCAACACTACCTTAAAAGAACATGAAGAACATGGCCATGTGCAGGAAGACAAAGAAACCAAAGGAATGAGCACAGTAGCCCTACTTTGCAGAAGATACATTATCGCAGAAGAAACTGGCAAACTGAAAATATTTATTCATGAAAATAAGTAGGGGTTGGGGAAGAAGAAAGATGTAGGCTGCAGAGACTACTAGCCTCATTTAATCTACCTTCTGTGAGGCTGGAGCTGCAGCTATTGTAATTGGTTGATAACCCATTACACTTGATAAGATAAATATTTTGATAACATATTAAAAAATTTCCTTTTAATGAGTAATGCCGGTTGGCATGTCATTATTTAGGGTAAATTGTGGAGCCCTGGGCTGCCCAGTGTAAGGGCACGGTCTGGCCCAGACTGTTGCCACACATTGGAACAGATGTCACATTCAACGACACAAGATACAGAGGCAATTGTTTGAAGATGTAACTGAATTTTCTTTTAAGCAAACATCCAAAATGCACAGGGCTGGATTCTGCTACCCATTAGATGCATTAGTTAGTGTCTTAATACAGGACTTACTTCTGTGATCTAGAAAGCTATGTTGGGAAGAGCATTTTAATAGAAAACGGGCAGAGGGAAAGGCAAGTCCCAATCAAGTTTTACCTACAAAACTCTTACCTGAAAAGGTGTGTTCCCCTGTTTGAGGTATCTGTTTATAACTGTTCTTACCAGGGATGCTTAAAAAAGCAAAAACCCAGACCACACCTCCTATGTCAGGCACATTATTCACAGTATAAAGTCATAGAAACCAAATGGAAATGTGCCCGTATCTCCTGATCAACGCATCCTTTAAGGATTGTATTTTACTTGCTTCACACACCAGGTAATGGCATAGGAGCTCCAGCATAGGTGTTCACTTACACCCTCCACCACCAGCCTACGTTAAATACGTTTATGTTAGTGTATCTGCAAGTCCCACATGAAGTGTGCATTGTAGCAGAAAAAGTGCAAAGTGTTTGACAAAACTGGCTAAGCCACGAGTGCTAATTGACACACAGGAAACTCAACAACCTACAGACATGTTGGCTGGTAACCAGAATGGGGCAGTGGAGAGATGTCAATAATTCCCAGAGGGAAAAGAAAGAAGAGATTCTTTAGACTAGATTCACCCACCGTTACTCCGACCTTTACTCCATGACGTGCCTGAGTGAAATCAGTGAGACTAACATCAGAGGACACCTAAAACAAGGCTAAACCAAAAACTTTCCTTATATTCAAATAAAAAAGACGAGAGTATCAAAAGAATTAATTGAGCTAATATATTTAGCGCGTGAAGAGTTGCTAAAAAGGTTGCTTCACATAGCATTGTAAATCAGATAATTCTTACCTGTAAAAAAATATTACATACAGTTTGCCAATCTGGGAAACAAATTACTTTCTGTTCAACATCCAAATGATAGCAAGCATTACCTTTGGAATTATTTAATTATTTATTTTAACATACTTATATACAGTGAGTGACTCATCCTGATATAATAATCCTGTTTCAACATAATCTAAGTAAAGACTTCTATGACTTAGTGAAGGTTTTTAACACATTTGAGACTCAGAAATTTTCCTCACAAGCCTTCATAAATATAGTCATAGTGACAATATATCTTTCCTTGTCATGATTTCCAGTTTTTGTGTCTTTACTGAGCGCCAACACCACTTAACGATGTTTTAGTTGCATCTGAAATGGATAACGCTTGAGCAAAATCTGCAACACACAGTTTGAAATTAATTCTAAGCAGCTAAAGAAATTTAAAACATACATGTTCATAGGTACATGTATATTATATATTGGTGTATAATAATATATACACACACATTTATTTTAACGTTTAGCTTTAATAGCAAAAAGTACAGTAGAATTCCACTGATAGCAAGATTTGATTCTAGATTATCCATAGAAAATTGGTGCACTTTTTCTGAAAATCAACACAAGCTCAAAAGAAAATGTGATACGCGATAATTCTCTGCCAAGGTCTAAAACCGATAATCAATTTGAACTTCTAAATAACTGAATTAAACCCGATAGTAATCAAACAGAGACTTGATAATGAAATACCTCCATTGCAAAATGTTACTGAGTAAAATTTTGTATCAGTCCCGAGTAGGTGAGTGTACAACATTTAGGATAAGGCCTCCCAGTCCTGACTGGAGCCCATAGGTACTACTGGAGTACAAATAATAAATAATAGTACATGTACTGTAAACTCTCTAAAATCAGCGATAATACCAAGCATTTTCCATCTTTGAAACACTGTACAAACATAAAACTATTCCTCACAACACCCCTGTGAGGTAGGTACAAAAGTATTGCCCTATCTTTACTGATGGGGCAACTCATCCCAATACTACAAGGTGCTAGCTGACTCTGCAAGGGGGGAGTTCCCTCCCTCATTCCCAGAGGCTCCCCGGGTATCTAATTCCCAAGCAGAATCAGAGTCTAATTAGCGATTTGCCCACATCCCTAAAATATGTCAGTGGTACAGCTCGGAGCTGTTGGCTTTCACATTTGTCACTTTGTCAATTGATTGAGACATTCTCCCTTCTGAAAAAATAAAATACTATACATTGGTGCCGTGACATGCACAAACATGTTATTTTTCTTTTCATAAATCTGCTGACACCTTTAATACCTGCAAAGGGAAGGCATTTCCCTGCGAATGCCTACCTTGAGCAGCAGAGTGATAGCAAGATTCTTTTACGCATTTATGTGAAAAACGGACTGATTATTCATATGATGACATCAAATTCTATATTAAGAGGCCCAGTCATATTTTTTTAATTTTGATTCATCTTTCAGGACCTCCTTTAAAACTGGGATAATCCTGTGGTATATACTAAAATATATGTATTCTCTTTTCCCTCTTCTTAAAAATAAAAGTCCAGAATGCTTTTGCCTAGACGTATTTTTAATATACTATATAGCTAGCCACTGTTTTGATGACGTGAAGTAACGCAAGACATCTGAACCTGGAAGCAATCCCCCTTGCACCAGTATAAACCTCCAGTATCTCCACTAAAGCCCATGGAGTTTCCAGTGATGTAAAAGCAGGCGCAGTGAAGTGAGGATGAGGACTTCCATCCTCCTGACCATCTGACCACCCTACACCAGCAACACTAACAAAATTCATGCCTTCGTCTGGGGGGAAAGAGTGGGAAAGGCATGTTTGTTAGCATCCTGTGAGCTACACACGTACCTCATGGCATCACTGCTGACTTCATCACTGATTACGCTAGTGTTACACAGGGATGTGAAAAACAGGCAGCTCTTTTGACTTCTGCAGGATTAGAGAGAAAGGAAAAAAATAAAACACAGTATCTTCCAAATGACAGAGCACAGGCAGAGAAGTAAATGCAAGGCAACACAAATGCAGCTTTAGGAAAACGAAGTATTTGCCAAGATAGAAAGGACAAAATAGGTAAAGGACCAGATTGAGGGCTAATCTATAAAAAAGTTAAAAAAAAAAGGAGGACAAAAAAGTCAATCATTTGTCATAAATGCTCTCTTTCTAATAACTCCTGGAAAAAATATAAAGTTTGAAAGCCTTGCTGGAATTTTCATGTTGTAAAATAACCCTCCCCTCAAAAAAACATCATAACCGTCAATTTCTCTGATTATACAGAGTTCCTACATGGCTCTATTTTTAAACATCTGTAATTCTGCAGACTTTGACCATTTTTAACTGTGTAGCACATTTTATTATTTAATGCCTTCCTATAATTAAAAAAAATAACCCATACACATGTAAAAATAGATACCATTTTGCTTTCATCCTTTTTTTTTTTTTTTTTGGGAGGAGGGGAAAGCAGGTATTTTTCCTCTTGTATTTTGAACAGAACCGTAAGTATGAGTGCTCCTTTGCTTTCCTTCTCTTTTGCATATCGTGTTTTCTCTCAGCAAGGCTCAGGGGTGTGCGTGCAGGAACACAAGCACAAACCTATTATTGTTGTTGTTGAATCACCAGAGGAAACTCGTACCTTCTTTGCGTAGGTCTTACAAAACAAGAGTATCTTCATAACAAGGCCACTGAAAGATGATTAATACAGATTTTTCTCTTTTATTTATCTTTTGTCTGTTTTAAATGCAGCAGGCATTCATCACCGGATTATAACAGCTTGAAGGTTACTCAAACATACAGCTTTTTTGCAGGAGATACTTAATCACATGCCTAACCTTAAGAATGTAAATACTTTCATTTGAATCAGTGTGAAAAAATAATTTGGTCAAAGTTAGACATGCTTTGATAATGTAGGGTCTTGCAAAAAAAAAGAAGAAACAAAGCCATGGGTTTAAACATACAGGTTATGTCATTTGGAATGAACGGATGCGAGTTGTCAATTTTATTTTTTTTTTCATCTTTTTATTTTGGAATTTGAACTGCTCCTGAAAAATTTGTTTCCAAATTTTATCATGCAGTGTATTGTGAATATTAGACAGATGCTTAAACAACGTGAAAAGGAGGGTTTTTTTGGTAGACAGTACATGAAAAGTGTTCAGAAAACAGTCAATTTGAAACAGTAGTCCTTCCAAAGGCTGTCTTGCTCCCTCCAAAATGTTTTGCCTTTTTTTTTTTTTTCCCCCTCCTGTCTTGTGAGAAATACTCTTAGGATTTATTTTCATCGGAAAAGAGACTTTAATAATTCTACCCATTTGCACTGTTAATATATATTAGAATAGCATTTGAATATAAGGTGTCGACCTTATTCTGATTTTCAGATGTGACTATTAGAAGTCATTGACACCAATCTACCACAAGTGACCTTAGTCTCATATCTTGCTCTGTTATTAGAATAATCAAGGAACGCAATTCAGAAATAATATTACATCCTGCATTTTATTCAATTCCATATGACAAAAATAGTAACCTAGACTAAGACATCCATTTCAATCAGTAGATGTGTCAAGCCAACAAGATTTAATAATAAAAAATATTGGATCTAGGTAACAATTCCCAGCTGGTTCAGGAAGGCTCCTAGCCCTACATGGTATCACAGTATAAAAATAGTGTCTCTCTTCACCATGCAGAGAGGAATGACCTAACCCTGAATACAAAATGGGGTCAGTCTCACTGTACCATCATCAACCATCTTATTTACAACACTTTACATCTTTTTTCTTTTTGCCTTTTTCCTTTTTTCTTCTCTTTTTTTTGCTTTCTTCTTCTTTTTTTTTTTTTTTTTTTTTTTTTTTCATCGGTGTGCTGAGCTGGAGGGTCTCTGCCCCATTCCCTCCCTGCGCTACGTTGGGTGCCGGTGGGGCTGGCGGGGGTCAGGGTGGGTTTGTGGCACGGGGTTGGGAGCTCGCAGCCGTCCCGGGGAGCTGCTGCAGAGGGGGATGCTCAGCCGCCTTCTTTCCAGAAGAAGCCGTGAACGAGGTGAAGCGCCAGGCCATGTCCGAGCTGCAGAAGGCCGTGTCAGACGCCGAGCGGAAAGCCCACGAGCTGATCACGACGGAGCGAGCCAAGATGGAGCGAGCCCTGGCCGAGGCCAAGCGCCAGGCTTCGGAGGATGCCCTCACCGTCATCAATCAGCAGGAGGACTCCAGCGAGGTGGGGACCGGTGGGGGCGAGCCAGGGGGGACGGGGTTTGTGGCACCCACGAGCATTTGGGATGAAGTTTGCAGCATCTGTGCATGCAAGCGTGGGTATGGGGGGGCTGCAGCAACACCATGGGGTGGGAAGAAGAGGGGATTTCTTGCACCAAGCTGGGATGAGGGTGCATGATCCAGGATGGCATGCAAGGTCCAGGATGAGGGAGCACAGTCTTGGATGGAGGTGCATGGTCCAGGATGATGTGCATGGTCCAGGGTGAGGGTATATGGTCCAGGATGGGGATGCCTGGTCCAGGATGATGTGCAAGTTCTGGGAATGGGGGTCCATTGACAGGGTGCATGGTCCGGGATGAGAATGCATGGTCCGGGATGGGAATGTATGGTCCAGGAATGGGAATGCATGGTCTGGGATGATGTTCATGGTCCAAGATGATGTGCATGGTCCAGGGTGAGGGTATATGGTCCAGGGTGAGGGTATATGGTCCAGGATGGATATGCCTGGTTCAGGATGATGTGCAAGTTCTGGGAATGGGGATCCATTGACAGGGTGCATGGTATGGGATGATGTTCATGGTCTGGGATGATATTCGTGGTCTGGGATGCAGGTGCATGGTCTGGGATGATGTGCATGGTCCAGGATGAGGGTATATAATCCAGGATGGGGATGCCTGGTGCAGGATGCTGTGCAAGTTCTGGGAATGGGGGTCCATTGACAGGGTGCATGGTCTGGGATGGGCATGTATGGTCCAGGAATGGGAATGCATGGTCTGGGATGATGTTCATGATCTGGGATGATGTTCATGGTCTGGGATGCAGGTGGATGGTCCAGGATGATGTGCATGTTCCGGGATGAGGATGTATGATCCAGGATGGGGGTGCCTGGTTCAGGATGAGGGGAGCATGGTCTGAGGTGGTGGAGTTCCTGGTCCAGGATGGGAGGGGGGTTGTGCACGATCCAGGGCTGACGTTGGGCTTTGCATCCCCTGCAGAGCTGCTGGAACTGCGGGCGCAAAGCGAGCGAGACCTGCAGCGGCTGCAACACCGCCCGCTACTGCGGCTCCTTCTGCCAGCACAAGGATTGGGAGAAGCACCACCACGTCTGCGGGCAGACTCTGCAAGGGCTACCAGCCCCTGCCGCCCCCACCTCCGGCGTGGGGCTTCCTCCGGGCCCCTGCCAACCCGACGGGGTGGCCACCATCGCCAGCAGCCCCAGCGAGACGGGCTCGGCGGCCGTATCCCGTGCCGGCACGCCGGCCACCCCGGCCCCGCTGGAGAGCGCGTCCCGCTGAGCCCTCGGACTGCTGCCGCCGCCGCCGCCGCTGCTGCTGCTACCACCGCTCTCCAAAAGACATGGACTGCACTCGATGCAATTTCCTCAGCTGCCGGGGAGCACAGTCCCCCAACTGCAACACACCCCCCGTGACATTTTCCCCCACCATCACAGCTGCTGAACTGCATCATGGACATGGTGGAGAAGACGCGGCGGTCACTGACGGTGCTGCGGCGGTGCCAGGAGGCCGACCGGGAGGAGCTCAACCACTGGATCCGGCGCTACAGCGACGCCGAGGACATGAAGAAAGGCAGCCCCCCCTCCGCCCGCCCCCACAACAGCTCCTCCGCCTCCGAGGCACCCCAGTTAGGTATTGACCCCCGGGGGGCTGCGGGGTGCTTATTATGGGGGAGGATTGCGGGGTGATGGACCTTTCTCCAGGGTGCCTGTGCCCATCTCCTGGGGGTCCAGTGCTGCTGGGGGGGTGGGTTCAAGGGGGACAGCATCTCCTAACGGAGTCACCCCATCTCTTTCACAGATGCTCACCGGGAGTTCACACCACGGCCCCTCTCCGGGTACATGCCGGAGGAGATCTGGAGGAAGGCTGGTGAGTGCAGGGTGGGCACCCAGCACCCATCGGTGTGCTGAGCTGGAGGGTCTCTGCCCCATCCCCTCCCTGCGCTACGTTGGGTGCCGGTGGGGCTGGCGGGGGTCAGGGTGGGTTTGTGGCACGGGGTTGGGAGCTCGCAGCCGTCCCGGGGAGCTGCTGCAGAGGGGGATGCTCAGCCGCCTTCTTTCCAGAAGAAGCCGTGAACGAGGTGAAGCGCCAGGCCATGTCCGAGCTGCAGAAGGCCGTGTCAGACGCCGAGCGGAAAGCCCACGAGCTGATCACGACGGAGCGAGCCAAGATGGAGCGAGCCCTGGCCGAGGCCAAGCGCCAGGCTTCGGAGGATGCCCTCACCGTCATCAATCAGCAGGAGGACTCCAGCGAGGTGGGGACCGGTGGGGGCGAGCCAGGGGGGACGGGGTTTGTGGCACCCACGAGCATTTGGGATGAAGTTTGCAGCATCTGTGCATGCAAGCGTGGGTATGGGGGGGCTGCAGCAACACCATGGGGTGGGAAGAAGAGGGGATTTCTTGCACCAAGCTGGGATGAGGGTGCATGATCCAGGATGGCATGCAAGGTCCAGGATGAGGGAGCACAGTCTTGGATGGAGGTGCATGGTCCAGGATGATGTGCATGGTCCAGGGTGAGGGTATATGGTCCAGGATGGGGATGCCTGGTCCAGGATGATGTGCAAGTTCTGGGAATGGGGGTCCATTGACAGGGTGCATGGTCCGGGATGAGAATGCATGGTCCGGGATGGGAATGTATGGTCCAGGAATGGGAATGCATGGTCTGGGATGATGTTCATGGTCCAAGATGATGTGCATGGTCCAGGGTGAGGGTATATGGTCCAGGGTGAGGATATATGGTCCAGGATGGATATGCCTGGTTCAGGATGATGTGCAAGTTCTGGGAATGGGGGTCCATTGACAGGGTGCATGGTCCGGGATGATGTTCATGGTCTGGGATGATGTTCATGGTCTGGGATGCAGGTGCATGTTCCAGGATGATGTGGTCCAGGATGTGCATGGTCCAGGATGAGGGTATATAATCCAGGATGGGGATGCCTGGTGCAGGATGCTGTGCAAGTTCTGGGAATGGGGGTCCATTGACAGGGTGCATGGTCTGGGATGGGCGGATGATGTGCAAGTTCTGGGAATGGGGGTCTGTTGACAGGGTGCATGGTCCAAGATGGGAATGCATGGTCCAGGATGGGAATAATGTTCATGGTCCCAGGTCTGGGATAATGTTCATGGTCTGGGATGCAGGTGGATGGTCCAGGATGATGTGCATGTTCCGGGATGAGGATGTATGATCCAGGATGGGGGTGCCTGGTTCAGGATGAGGGGAGCATGGTCTGAGGTGGTGGAGTTCCTGGTCCAGGATGGGAGGGGGGTTGTGCACGATCCAGGGCTGACGTTGGGCTTTGCATCCCCTGCAGAGCTGCTGGAACTGCGGGCGCAAAGCGAGCGAGACCTGCAGCGGCTGCAACACCGCCCGCTACTGCGGCTCCTTCTGCCAGCACAAGGATTGGGAGAAGCACCACCACGTCTGCGGGCAGACTCTGCAAGGGCTACCAGCCCCTGCCGCCCCCACCTCCGGCGTGGGGCTTCCTCCGGGCCCCTGCCAACCCGACGGGGTGGCCACCATCGCCAGCAGCCCCAGCGAGACGGGCTCGGCGGCCGTATCCCGTGCCGGCACGCCGGCCACCCCGGCCCCGCTGGAGAGCGCGTCCCGCTGAGCCCTCGGACTGCTGCCGCCGCCGCCGCCGCTGCTGCTGCTACCACCGCTCTCCAAAAGACATGGACTGCACTCGATGCAATTTCCTCAGCTACCTGACTCGTGTGACCTCCGAAACGACCTCTCTAGCTCTCACAAATAATCCTCACGGATCCTCAAACTGGGCTTTAAGTGGAGTTAAGGCAAATACCGGTCTTCTCTGTTCTCTCTTCGGTCTTTGTTTTGGGCTTTTGGTTTTTTTTTTTTGGTTGGTTTTTCTATCGGTTGGGGGATTATGGTTCCTTTTTTTGTTGGTTTTTTTTGGGGTTGTTTTTTTGGTTTTTTTTTTTCCTTTTCTTCTTTCTGGATGAGGGATTTGGCTGCATCCTCACCACACAGTGATGTGAGGAGAGGCCGGCTCACCCCCGGCCCTGGCCCGCATCAGCGCTGCCGAGGGGCTCGCTTGCAGGAGGAAAGAAACTTCTTTTCTTCGTCTCTCTCTTCCTTTTTTTTTAAAAAAAAAAAATAAAGAAAATAAAAAAGAAAACGTCGGACTCTTTGGCTTTAAGTACGAGATTGTAAAAAAGATAAAAAAAAAAAAAAAAGAAATATCCAAAAACCGGACGACGCCAAGTCAAGCCGTGTGACGGACGCTCACCTGTAACTACCTTGCTAGCTAGCCAAGAACAGACCAGACTCACCTCTGCTCCAAAGGAAATCCAAAACCAAGGAAGATCCAAACGTCTCTCCACTGCCAAAGTTCGTTTCGTTCTGTTGTCGCTTCCTTCCCCTCCCCGCAAGGATGGACGGACATGCCCCCGGGGGCTTTGAAGAGTTTCTATTAAAATAAAGCAAAAAAAAAAAAAAAAAAAAGGGGTTTTTTTTTTTTAAAAAAAAAAAAAGGAAGCCCCCAAGGCATGGGAGGGGGAGATGGTGGCTGAGAACCGCCGGGTGGGCGCAGCCAGAGCCGGCACATCTCTACCTCTGCCCACCGCCAACCTGGAAAAAGAGAATTAAAAAAAAAAAAAAGAGATTAAAAGACAGATTTTGGCTTTCTCCCTTCCTGAAGCCGTCGGGGGCCACCTGCGGCTGGACACCCCCCCGCCCCCCAGCCCCTCGCTGCCGGGCTGCTCCCACACCCCCCGTCGGATTTATTTTGCAAGGATTTTTAAGAGGAAAAAGGAAAGGAAAGGAAATCGAGCGCCACCTCCTTCCTGGCCGAGGAGGCAGCCAAGGACAATGTTGATTATTTTGTATTTTCTCGCATCGTTGTACAAAGCGCAGAGGACGGGAGTGCAATACGGAAAGTCCCCCGGCTCCGAGGAGGGAAGCCCCCGCGCGGGGCAGGAGTGCTGTACGCTAATGTGAATGTAAATAGTGTTTGCAGAGGTCCAAATAATAATAATTAATAATAATAATAATTAATAATAATAATAATAATGACGATAGTGATAATAATAAGAGACATTTGCCAAATAAAAGATGATGAGACCCCGCTGGAGGCTGTGGCGTGGGGGGG